AAAAAAAAAAAAAAAAAAAACAAAAAGAAATGGGCAGGGACCAAAACAGCAAAAAGGTAAAAAGACAAAAGGGAAGGAGAGAGAGAAAAGCAGAATAAACAAAGAAAGAGAGGTGATGGAAAAGAGACTGTGCTCGGAAATCAAAGGAAAAGAGAGAGGAAAAGAGGGAGAGGAGGAAGAAGAAGACAGACTTCCCACCTAAGAGAAACCACCATGGTCCTGGGCCCCAGAAAACCCCCAGACCAGGCCACTCCTCCCTTCTCCTCCCCCCGGCCACCCCCTCCCCTTCTGCCCAGCCCGGCTCCGATGGTTTCCCTGCGGTCGGTTTATTTTTAAAAACGCCGACGCCGTCCCCTGCCTGGCCCTCACACTGTGGCCACAGGGGCCTCAGCCAAGCCCAGGGACCCCACCCAGCTGTGGGGAGGAGGGGAGAGGTAAAAGAAGGCAGCCAGCCCAAGGCCAACAGAAGACCCCAGCCCTGGGGAGTGGAGGCTCAGAGGGCCCCTGAGGGCAAGGAAGGAGAAGGCCCACTAGACCCACTCAGGCAGGTCTGGAGGCCAAGACATGTGCCCAAGAGCTGGGCACATGGCTAAGTTTCACCACAGCCTCGGTTTCCTTCTTGTGCTGATTGCCCTATCCTGAGAATTAGGGGAGAAGGTCCTGGTTAAGGGTTCTGAGTATGAGCCCCCATCCCTGATCAAATGTATTACCTTCCTCTATCCATCATCCTTAAAAGAAAAAAGTATTGAAAGGGAACCTTTGGGAAAAAAATAAGACAGGAGCTGTCCCTCCCAGATGTAGGGCAGGGGAAGGGAGTCCTTTCTTTCTAAAGAGATGCTCCCTCTTCCTGCCCTGCCTAACCTCCCAGGGAGATGCTCACCATACATCTGAAGGCTGGCCTTAGTTTCTGAGCAACCAAGGCCCCAGTTTCCACCAGTTCTCTACTTTCTTTTCTTACCTTTTTTTTTTTTTTTTTTTTTGCAGTTTTTGGCTGAGGCTGAGTTTGAACCCACCACCTCCAGCATATGGGACTGGCACCTTACTCCTTTGAGCCACAGGTGCCACCCTCTACTTTCTTTTCTTTAGAGACAGAGTCTTACTTTGTCGCCCTTGGTAGACTACCATGGCGTCACAGCTCACAGCAACCTCCAGCTCTTAGGCTTAGGTAATTCTCTTGCCTCAGCCTCCCCAGTAGCTGTGACTACAGGCGCCCACCACAACGCCTAGCTACAGTTCTCTACTTTCTCAGCCTCCTCCCATTTCTTAGTTCTCCCAGCTACCCATTTTTTCATTCCCATCACCTCCCACCCATTCCTCCCTCCTGCCTGTCCTGCACCTCACTTGGCCCAGGTGAGCTTCCCCTCAAAGGAGCAGCAGCCTCCCTCTCCAAATCCCAAGTTCTTGTTACTGCCAAAGGACCCGGCCATCCCAGGAAAAAGGTTTCCTGGGGAGGTGGGGAGGAGGTTTAGGGCCTAGGTACCCCACAACTAGATAAAGAGATGGAGGGATTAGAGGAACTGGAGTGCCTTTGTGTTGAGGGCATCCCCAGCTCACAGGGAGTGAGGGGTCATGAAAGCCTTGCTTCTACAACACACTCCTCTTGCCAGGCACTACCCCAATCTCATGTCTTTCCAGCAGGCCCCTCCCAAGGCACTAGTGCCACGCTGGCAATGCTGGCATGATGCCCACCCCCACTGACACGCTCTTGCCCTGGGTGGACCCAGGATTTCCATGCATCTTATTCCTCCAGCTTCCTCAAGACCACAGTGTTCCGATGATGATGATGACTGAAAATAGTCTCCTGGGGAGACAACAGGATGACAATCTGCCCCCACTGAAGTGGAGGTGGGGAACATAGTACAACCCTTAGAGACCCCTTCCTGGCTACAAGAAGCACAGAGTCCATCCCATTGGCTTCCATTCCATTCCCTAAAACTGAGCCACAAACTTACTACCTTACTCATTCATCTTTCCTCATTTGGACTGACAGTTTACACACACACCCCTGTACTCTCACAAAGCTACCTACATTCAGGCATACTGGACTGTACCCTAACACTCACAGGCCAGTGAACACAAGTATTAAAAGACTCCTGCTCTATCTCATATACACCTCTCCTACAGGTTGAATGAGTTTGCTTTCTGTTTGACTTTCTGCTTGGGTGACCCTGAGACCACAGAGATAGAGGCTTTGGGGGGGACCCAAGAATACTGAGAAACGGGGTCAGAGACCCAGACGCAAGGAGGACTCAGGCCCTGAGTGGCTATGGGTCCCCCCTTTCCAGCTGTATTCCTTGGGTCCCCCAGAAACCCTGGTACAGTCAATGATTTCTCAAGAACCCAAATCCTGACTCTCATGGTATCTTAGTTCCCTTCATCCCAGCACCAGAGGTAAGGAATACTGGGGTCCCAGCCTAGAAGGGAAGTGGTCCAGTCCACCCTGGAGCCTCCCACTCCCAAAATAGAGCTGAGTTTGTCTTTGGCTGAAAGCTAAATATTTGTGAGCTGGGCAGGCGGCCTCAGACCCTGTCCCTCCTCCTTGGTTCCCTCTCAGGCCTGGGCTCAGTTCCCCTGGTCAGCCCTCCCACATGCACATGCCCTCCTCCTTTCTAATACACAAACCAGACAAGAGCCTGCTTAGGCTAGGCGTCCCAGGACAGAGATGAGCCCCCCAAAGAAATGTACCCAGTTGCTACTCCATGCCCATGTGGCCAGCCCTCTCTGCCTTCAGTTTTTGCTGCCAGTTTATCTACCTCCCACCCCTGGGCCCAATTCTCCCCTCCCCCTCCTTTCTCCATTCCTTTCCATTCCTCACAGTCAGTGTGCTTAGCTGACCCTTGGGGTTCAGTCTTCTTCTGACCTAGTCCTCTCTCCACCTCCTTGCACTGCCCTCTGACCCCTGACCTATTCTCTCATCCCTTTGCTCCTGCCCTCTACCTCTACTTCTCAGACCCCACTCCTCTCTCCTCATCAGAATGACCCCTGAAAGTGACAAGCATCACAGCTACTGTCTGTGTGAGTTCCGGGGGCAGGAATTAGGACCATGAAGATTGTGGCTGGTTTCCTGGGGCGAGGAGGGGGCAGTTACCTCGAGCAGGGAGGACGCCATCCTGAGGCTGGGAAACGGGTCGCAAGGAGCCAGGCAGATGGAGATAGCCGAGCCGGAGAGAGAGGGAGAGGGGAGAGGGAGGGAGAATGGGAGAATGAGAGAGAAGAGATCTAAAGTTAGAAGGGACTGGGGGCTGGGGGGTGGGGGGGCTGCTCTCTGTCTGTAGGGATCCACCCTCTAATTACAGCTTTCCCAGCGGAGAAGGCTTCGGATCCAATGAGGAGGGCGAGAGAGGGAGGCAGAGGGTCCAAATTTCCTGCTCCATTTGCTGAGCTCCCCAAAGAAGGGATCTGGGAGGGAGAGGAGAAAAGGGGGCACCCAGGGAAGGGGTGGGAAACAGGAAGGGAGGATAGAAACATGGGTAAGTTGTCAGGGCTTCCTTGGGAGCTGCTGAGGGGAAAGGTTAAAGGCGTGGAGGATCCAAGTGTCCTACACACCACAGCAATCCCATAGGCATCTGTGGGCACCCCTCCAAGAGCTCCCCATGTACCTGGGGAACCTGGGGCTGGCTGTCCCGAGTTTCCTCTCTGGAGGTCTGGCAGGGAGAGTGCTGGCAACGGGTGGCCCGAGGGTGCTGGGAGGAATCCTCTTTTCTCCCAGGCCAGCTGTGCTCCTGTTCCCACTCAGGCTCTGATCCTACAATCCTACTCTGACTCCAGAGTCCTTGCTGCTGCTCGGTGGCTGCTGCTTCTGCTACTGCTGCTGCTGAAGCTGCTGCCGCCCGCCCGCTGCTGAGGGAAGGAACAGGAGGGAAAAGGAACAAACCCCAAACCACTAATTAGAGATGGGGGGGATGGGGGTTGGGGACGACACTCACACAGAGAGACTGGAACACACTGACATACACACTCATGGACAAATACAGGGATGATGCATGCACACACAGTACTACCCACGCAGCATAGCCACTGTCATGAATGAACACAGACTAACACAAATGAACACAGTGACACACTGGAGGCACATACACACACACCCAGCTGACCATAGAGATGCTTCTTTCCCCAGTCACCCACTTCTAGATGAGGAGAGCAGTATGTGTGTGTGCGTATGTGTGCGTGTCCATGAGCTTGTGTGTGCATGTGTGTGTGTTATATGGAGAAGGAGGGAGAGTGTGCTCTGGAGTGGAGGCTTCTGCTTCCTAAACTTTTAGGGTCACAGAGGTAGTTTTCAGAGCATGACCTGGGGAAAGGGATGAAGAATTGGCATAGGCTTGGGGGAGGAGGGTCCCTCAGTTTCACTGTTTGGAAATGATCCCTAGGCCATCATTTTTTGTGACAGAATATGGATCTTCTGATAATCAGAGAATTTAAGGCAGGTAGGAGTGAGGATAGGGGTTAAAGGGTCAACTTCATGGATGGGTCAACTCATCCATGCCTACATTTCATCCCTTTCAATTAAACTCCCTAAAAAAGAAATGCCTTGGCTCGGCGCCTGTAGCTCAAACAGCTAAGGTGCCAGCCACATACACCAGAACTGGCAGGTTCGAATCCAGCCCGGGCCTGCCAAACAATGACAACTGCAACCAAAAAATAGCTGGGTGTTGTGGTGGGCAGCTGTAGTCCCAGCTACTTGGGAGGTAGAGGCAGGAGAATCGCTTGAGCCCAGGAGTTGGAGGTTACTGTGAGCTGTAATGCCACGGCATTCTACCCAGGGCAACAGCTTGAGGCTCTGTCTCAAAAAAAAAAAAAAAAGCCTAAGCCTCCATCACTCCTTGTCAGTTACCATCCCATGGTCACTCTTGGATTAATCTCCACCCTTTCATAGATAGTTCTTCATGTGAGTGATCATACTTTCCTGGGAGCTCCTGGTTCCCTTTCTCATTGCCATGCATCAGTTCCCTCTACAGCAGAAATAATTGAAGTTGGAGCTGAAAATGGTAAAGAAGAGAAGGAATGTCAACGAGGTTGTGAGAAGGAAGCCAAAAAGTCTATTAACAGAGACCTGGGCCCCAGGGTAAGCTGATGGGAGAGACTAGGCAACCAAGTGATAGGACCAACCTCTCTCCCACAGAGGGGCTCAGCCCTGGGGGGTTGTTTTGCACGTTATTCCCTGGCACATACCTTTCTTCCCTCCCAGCTCTCCCTGTCAGAGGGATAAAGCTCTGTCCTTTCCACCACCCTGACTCCCCAACGCAGTCCCCTTACTTGCTAAGTGTCTACTTCCTTGACCCTTTTTCTCTCCCAGCTTTCCAGTGAAAAGATTGAGAGGTGGAATGGCAGATGGTGGTCCAGGGAGGGTTAACCAACAGACGGGAATAAATTTCAAGGCAGGACCCCAGGAATTTCAAATTCCAGTTCCACACCCAAGAAACCCTGTGAGCACAAGTTTGGGGGAATGAATTAGAACCAAGTGTCTGGTAGAAAAGGGGAAAGAGGGTAGCGCCTGTGGCTCAAAGGAGTAGGGCGCCGGCCCCATATACCGGAGGTGGTGGGTTCAAACCCAGCCCTGGCCAAAAATTTCAAAAAATAAAAAATTTTAAAATTAAAAAAAAAAAAAGAAAAGGGGAAAGAAGCAAAAGAAGAAACACAGAATGACCAGGAGACACACAAAGTAGATGGAACAGCCCAAGAGAATCAAAAAAGACATTACCAGTAGACAGGTATAAGAAAGAGATAAGGAAGAAGAAAACAGAAGACCAGAGGTCTGGGCTCGGCGCCTATAGCTCAACCGGCTAAGGCGCCAGCCACGTACACCTAAGGTGGCGGGTTCGAATCCCCAG